CCTCTCCTTCAGAGTGGGCATTAGTTGTTTTAGACACTTTCAGGAAATTCAAGGGAGCATAATTATCTTTGAGGCCTTTACTCCTCTGCTGAATATAGTAAATGACTTGTGAATCTGTTGGGCATTTTCGGAGGGATATTGAGTGACAAGCGTACAGAAGTCTAAAGCATTGTACTTCTAGAATTATTTTTTTTCCGCAAGACAAAGGTATCTTTTGCTAAAACTTCTTAATTAAGGGGAAGGTAATGTGTCTCCAGCATTTTACTGTATAAAAGGGAAGATTACAAATGGAAAGGAGAGGTAAAAATGAGGCAGGAAAGATGAATAACCATGTAGCCGAGAAGAAGGAAAAGGGTGGGAAAAATCTCTCATCCCATGCTATGAAAGAGGCTGAAAGAGTGGATGGTAGCTTGGAGCCCCTTTCCAAATTGGCAGAACACAAAAGTTGGATGTGGCCTGAAAAAGAAAGCTCTGAAGCCCAGGACCGAATTTGAGCCAGTGGGTTTCTGACAGGATTTTGGTTTGTAAACATTTATGTTGATTCCAAATCCAAATAGGATAAAGTGGCTAGAGGTTGATTATGGAGGAAAGGAATTTTGGTTTCTTGCAAGTTAGACATTATGAGAGGAAAAAACCCAAACCCTTTCTTTAGGAAAAAAAAAGTGAAATTTTGCTTTGAAATGAAATTTTTATTCACCCCAAAATATTTTAAACTGACATTTTGCTTCATTTTGTTTCCTTGGTAATGCCAGAATCGCTACATGAATTTCCAAATATATCCCATTCCATCCAAGTGGTATTTTAATAATTGTAATACGGAAAAATGTTTAGGTAAATTTTTGCCAACCAGTCCTAGTAGTAGTTTGTGTCCAGACTACAGGCATATTTTAGCAGAATCTTCTCAGGTGCCAAGAACAGGAGGATCCTTGGGCTTTGGGCAAAAATGCTTGTTTTGTTTTGGCTGGTCAAAAGAAGAGATCAGAAAAAAAAAAAAGTACCTTCCCCCCAAATTAATAACTTTTCCTTTTATTTGTGTTTGAAATTCCATCTTTGACTCCCATAGCATATGTTCTTGCATGTGTTTCTTGGCACTCCTGAAGGGCAGATCTGTTTCTTACACTCTTGCTGCCTTAATTTTTTTGGGGAATCAATTTTGTCCTGTATATATGTACAGAATTCCTGTGACTGCTGTAACTTTTCTTTAACATCATAGAGCTTCTGTATTAATACTGAGTTTGCTACCTGCCCACTAAGAAGGCTGTATGCTAGCATCAAAGGTTAATTGGCTATCAGTCCTACTCATCTGCTAAATGGATAATACAAGAAACTACACCAAAGTTAATGGAACTTAGTCCTGTTAAATTGCTTGCCTACCTTAGATGTGTTCCGTTAGAATCACAACATGAAATGAGTTTTTTATTTCTTTTAGCACTGCAGGCTCTTTTAAAGTTCTTGTTTGTTTCCCAGTGTAGATGTACAGAAACCTAGAATCACACAGGATGGAGGGGACCTTTGGAGGTCATTGAGTCCAGGCTCCTACTCAAAGCAGGTTAGAGAGCAGGCTGCTCAGAAACTTGTCCACTGAATTTTGAGTATCTTCAAGAACGGAGATTTCACAGCTGCTCTGGGCACTCACTCTACATTTTTACCATCCTCATGGTAAAATTCTTTCCTTATACCATGATCCTAAGTCTCTTGCCTCTTGTTGTGTCTGTGTGCACCTCTCAGAAGGACTTAACCTTCTCTTTTTCTTGAGATCAGGTAGTGGCAGACAGCAGTAAGGTCTGCCCTCCACCTTCTCCAGGCTAAGCAGACTCAGCTCTCAGTCTCTGCCCAGCTGTCTTGGCAGTTCTCTGCTGGACTTGCCTCACTTGGTCAGTAGTTTTTCTTTCACTGAAGAGCCCAGAACTGGACACCACACTCCAGAGAAGGTCTCACATGTGATAGATAGAGAAAGATCACTCCCTTTGTTCAGCTGGTTTCACTGGTAACAAACACAGACCAGGGTGTGGTTGGCTGCCTTTGCCAGAGACACACTGCAGTCTTCTTGAATGAAGTTATTCCATCCTAGGTACAGGTGTGGGAATAAACTGATCAAAATGGAAGTGTTTGAATCACCTATGATCAAGAACTCTTGGCATAAAGCCAGAAAAATAGTTGTTCTAAAATTGTGAGCACGTGCAGAAACACAGCCTTACAGCAGCTATTAGGCTATGTGCTCTTGGGGATGTCTTGGTCCTAGCCAAGGACTGAGCCAAGGCTACAAACTGTGCAGTAGTCTGTGCCTAGGAATGGGAAAGTAAGTATTTGTGTTGGAAGGACATAATGGAATGAGAAAATACAGAGCAGTTAATAACATAAAAAGGAAAAGTAAGAAGTTGTAGATCAGAAGCAGGAAAGAGTTGCTGCTTTAAGGTAGTTTTTAGGCACATATTGATCAGATACTGCTAATGTTTGATGAATCTTAATCCTATAAAAGGCACTTGAAACATTCAGCATTTCTGAGGGTTGTGCTGGTACACTGTGTTAGACTGTGGTCCTGCCAGAGTAAGGTGGTGTTGATCCCCCTGTGGACAGTGCTCTAGTGCAAAGACGTGTTTAGCATTCTGGGTTGATTTCTGCACGTGGGCCAGAGTAAGTATGGATCACACTGGAAGTAGAGAAGTGGGAAACCTGCAGTCAATATTCTGGTCTGATAGCTGAGGGTCTTCATCTGCAGCCACTCAACTGGTGTTTTATACATATATTTCATGACAGCAGTGCCCAACCAAGAAGAAGGTTTCAAAGAGTTATACCTAAGGCTGACTTTGTACTTCAAATGCTCTTGGAGTAAAAAGCAAAGCATGTTCTAAAGTCTTCTAAGGAACAAAGTTCTAACAAAATATTGTTATATTTATGATCCCGCAGCAAAACAATACCCTATTAACCAAAAAGTTAAGATTTAAAGGATAAAGAGAATACTTGAGGAGACAAATAGAGGGAAATAACTTTACCTTAGCCTTGTATGGAATGAAAGGAAAAAAACCCAAACAACTGAGCTGCAAACTCATCAAAAACACAGTTGTTAATTGAAAAGCTGACAGACCTGTAACTACAGCAGCGCTTCTGGCCGCCACTATAATAAATGTAACTGTACATTTAGAGTAATTTGCTAATTTGCCTAAGTAACACCCACAGACAGCAACATGACATAAATACATTAGTGGAAGCAACAACTATAACCAGCTCATACAGGTTCTTGGCTGCTAGATGGATGGATCAGATGAGCTGGAAAAGATTTAGAGAGCAGAACAGAAATGGAATTGTTAACAATATTGTGGCATACAGGATTTCTTTATTCTCCTATTTCCAAGGAATTCTCTAAGGCCTGCAAATGTCCATATGTGTTGTAGCATATAACAAACATTTTTAACTTGTGTGTATGTGTGCACACACCTGGAAAACTTGTAGAGGTGGAGTATACATCTGCAAAATGCTGAGTTTCAGAAGCAAAAATGAGAAAATTTACATTCAGTCTTTCAGGTAAATATTTGAATCTTCAACATGTAATTATCAATATATGAGAAGAGTTTCTGTTCAATATTCTAAAGGTACATATGTATTAGGCCCATAGGAAGGACTGGAACCTGTACAATCGATTTTTCTAAAACAGGTGTTACAGGTGTCTGAAACTTGTATTTCAGAGTTACCCAGGTCTTTTCATCTGACAGTGTTCAGCTGTGTCACATCTCCCTTGGGCTGGCTCTGTTCTGTGTCTTCTGTTTCCAAAACTCTGAATCACACTGTTACATTTTATTCCGAAGTCCTGCTCATGGCAACTTTTGCTACTGCATATAAACTGGTATTTTACATTCTGCAAATAGCCTACCTCTAGGTTGGGCTTGGGGTCATCACTAGAGATTTCTGTGTTGTCAACAACAAATTTTTAAAATAATAATAATAATAAAAAAGAGAAAAATTGCTGTTCTGAAAGTTGGGTTTTATTTTCAATAAATTATTTCTTTCTGGTCCCAGTCTCCTCTTCTGACTGTCTTCATCCTGATGCAAATTAATAGTGCAGAAACAAAGGTAATGAATGCAGCTTTACAGAGTTTCTGTCTTTGTTGCCTCTCAGATGTACTTAGAATGTTTCTGTTGAGCTTTTTGAGACAGGCAGTGCTGGCTCTTGAGGGCAGAATCCAGTTAATCACCAAATGTGGAGTCAGGTGGAAAGTGTCTGTTTCAGTGCTGCTCTCAGGAAGAACCCACGTGTGTGGGCATATATATTCTTGCCTTCATCAGGAGGTTGTTCTAAGGTTTTTCACTAAATGCGGGTTGTAAAATATTCTTGAATATGAGTCACTTTAAATTATAGTCCATGGATCTAAGGAAGTCACTGAGAAAATGGAGCAGGAAAAAACATGGGATAGAGGCAAACTGTGAGATCTCTCTGTGGGATGTGGATTTCTGACAGCTAAACCAAATCCCTCTTTTGCTTGAAGGCTTGATATTAATGTCAGGGCAAAGAGGGCAGCAAACCCCTCTGGCTGGCCCAAGTTCTGAGTGTGTAAGACCTCCTCAGTACAAGCTGACAAAGACTCAGCTCTGGGAGAAGAGAGCTGACATGATTTTATGAAGCGTTATGGCTGATCTTCTTTGAACCCTAATTTCTGTCAAAGAGTTATCATCACTGTCACAGTAAATGATACTTGCAGCACAAATGGCAATTAACTAGAAGTAAATAGTAGAGGAGAAGTCTGCAGGCTGGTTTTTAAGGTTGATGAGTTGAAAGTAATTTCAACACATTAATGCTAAGCATGCTAAATCATAGTGTGCCATGAAAAAGACAGTAATGTCATTTACCTGAAGTCACCAGGAATTACAATAACATGTAGTAGACACAGGCTCGATTGTTTCAAATATGTGAGCATATTACAGGAGTCGATAACAGTTTGTCTATCTGTTTTCTTTTATCAGATTTTCCATAAAACAAGTAATTTGTTTGTTTTTCACTGTTTTAGGTAGCCTGCCCTATGAATACAAGATTGTGATAGCAGGAAATCATGAATTGACCTTTGACCAGGAATTCATGGCTGACTTAATCAAGCAGGACTTTTACTATTTCCCCTCTGTTTCTAAGCTGAAGCCAGAGAGCTATGAAAATGTACAGTCTCTTCTAACAAACTGCATCTATCTTCAAGACTCTGAAGTGACGGTGAGGGGGTTCAGAATATATGGCTCCCCTTGGTAAGCAGGTTTTTAAGCATACCTAAAAAAAATATTGTTGATTGCTATCACATCAGCCATTTCGTATGCATCAGCTATATTTGGATTGCTGTGTGAGGAAGAAAAGTAATACTCAGTTTGATAAAGTTTTTATATTTTTCTTGTAATGAATCATTCCTGTGACACAATAATGTACTTGTACTGTGGGTATTGTTAACCAAATAATGATGGGGAAAAGATAGTCTGCTCTTCAAACTCTCAGCCAGAGCAGTTCTCTAACACAGGGTTTTGTGTTGTAAAATACATTTTCTATACTTAGTAAGCTTATCTACTTAAGGTTAATTTATTGCAAGGATACATTCTTTTGACAATTTCCATCCTACGGATAATATTTGAGGTTCATTAGTGTACACAATAGTCACTTAACACAGCAAGCTTGTTTCAGCATTTGTGAAGGCTTTTTTTTACATATCCCTCAGAATCTTACTTTCTTTTATACAGTAATAGCTTTCCCCAAGGTATATTTGATCTTCTAAACTACAGTCAACAAATCAGTGGCAGTCTAGTATTTCATGGAATTTTCTTTACTGTATAGTGAGCGCTTAGAACCCCCTGACAGCATCAGAGGCAGATGGACTTTGGCTTCTTGACCTGCATCTTGGACCTTGTATGTGCTGCTCCTGTGTCTCTTACTGATGTTACATTACTGCTATGTTATTTCTGCTAACAGGACTGTAAATTGGATCTTTTATGAGCATTCAGTATATGTTTAGAATATGTAAAAATGTATTTTAAAAGGCAGGTTTTTAATGGAGTCTGTTATTCTTCCTTTTAAAATCACATCAGGCTGAAATGTAGCAAACAAGTTGTCAAACCTGATGCCTATACCCCAATGTGAATTTTCAGTGCGAATAAACTGTGAAATCTCTTGGATATTTTTTTTTATCAAAATTGGCATTTCCCCATTTGGTTCCTTGAGATGGGTGTTAATTTTCTCTGAGCTTATTCTTCTGCATTTGTCTACATTAAATGGTTTCCCTCTTAAATGCACCCTTTTCTCTCTTCCTCTTAGATCTCCAGATCCTTCTGGGTTTTTTTTTTTTTCAATCTGTCCACGTGCTATGTTGTAGTTCATCTTCCTCTTGTGTCTACAGTGTATGGAGTCAATGTGCAGTTTACTTTATTTTCCAAATTATTTGGGAAGATATTAGATGGTATCAGTCCCAATATTAACTTCTGAGAAATGCCACTTGGCATCTCTTCCCATTTTGATGTTCAACTGTAAATACTGTAATTATGCTCTGTTTACAATATGTCTGGCAACTTTGTATTTTCATTGCAGTGTTCATAACCAGGCACCATATTTCCAGTGTCAGTAATAATTTTCCAGGCAGTAAAGTACCAAAAGTCTCATTAAACTCTAGAGAAATTAAATTAAAGCAAAACACTATCTATAAAGCAGCACTAAGCAGGGGCTAAAGGGAACCATTTGAACTTTCTGTGTATGATTAGATCTGCAAAAAATCTGTTGAGAAAACTTTTGTCCACCCACTAACCCATAAATAATGTTTCTGTAAAATCAGATCTGCCGCACTCCCTTTGTGCGCAAATCCTGTCATCCTGCACAAGTTGTCTAAGCTATCTGGCATGACCTATTCTTCAAGAAAAAAAGATTACTTTCCATCTTTTATGCAACTTCAGGTTATATCTAAAATTCCACACTACATGTTTCACAGTGTTGCTAACTCATCTCCCACCCCCTTATGGTCCTGGAAGATGTGTGTTGCAAGGTCTTTTGAAGATCTTTGCTTGCTCCATATGGGAGAAAGTCTTGATGAAAGTCTTCCAGCCAAACTGGTTTTTTGCTTGCTATTCAGCAGTGCTGAATGAAGTTTCCATGCCAATTGATGACATGTCCAGTGGAAGTATCAACAGTAACAATAATAGCAGTAATAAGTGGCTCTTCATTAATCGATCAGAGCAGCAGATGCAGAAGCAACAAAGTCCCATCAGCCAGCCCACCAGTCAGAAAAGTTGGGAAGAGAAACAGCTATTTTGTGTGGGTTAAACTAGCTGCCTGCTAGATTTAAGGTTGTAGTACACGTCTGTGCCTACTGATCACTACTGTTCTTTAGCATTTCTTTTTGTTTCTATACCTCATTCACCCTAAACAGAAAGGTTTGTCATAGTCACGGAAATCAATCTCAGTTTCTTTCTACAATGTAATGTAATATCTAAAAAAATACAGAACTTTAGTGAATCTTCCATGGTGAATCTATTTTTGCCCTTGCATTTCAAAGCCAATCCATTAGAAAATGCTTATGAACTTAGTCAAACTTTCAAATCTAGGGTTCCTTAAGATCTCGGAACTCAGTAAGAAAGCTAAATTTCATGTAGTTGCTTGTTTAGTGTCCTAAAATCACTTTCTTTTCCTGCTTTGAAAATATGCATCTAGGTTTTTGAATGGATTTGTTTAATTGTAGATCTCCAAATTACAATTTATGTGTGTTGTTCATAAGTTACTCTATTTAATTAAAAGATGAGTATCTGGAACCTGAAAGTCGGGGGAGCCCCAGATCCTGCCTTTCCATTCCTGGTTACAGCACTGACCTTCTGTCTTACTTCACCCTTTGTAGAAATAATCAGAATCTAGAGATATCCCTCCTTCATAAGGCTGGTTAATGAACAGTTGCACAGTACTTTGAGAACACTGGAGTAAGGTCTGAGTGAAGGCCAACCAGCATTAAGTTAGCATCTTTGCCTGTAGCCATCTGCATTTTTATATATGACCTGTACACAATTAGAATGTACTTCTGCTTAAGATGTTTTAGTGGCAAAATAAACCACGAGATCTTGATTGGTTTGCATAACATGCCAGTCTCTAAGGTCTTTTAAGTATGTACTATTTGTGTGTAGTTAAATATTTTCAATAGCACTTGGGTATTTTGTCCTCTGTTATTATCTAAAACTCAGTGGTTATTTTTAATTGCATGGAAGAAATGGGACACTGTTTTGTCTCAGAAACCAATGCTTTAATTCTCCTGGGCTCCAAGGGCAAGATTTCAAGTACCATATTGAGCCTCTCCTCACTAACAAAAGTATAACTGCCCTAAATGTTAATTACACAGGTATTACCATTGAGCAGGGAGCAGCCAGTTTGAAGTGCAAGTTGCAGTGCACAAAAGCAGCTTCTTAGGAATTATTATTTGCAACACCAGTATCTTGGACCACAGTATATATCTATCAGTATAGATAGTGAGGAAGATAAGTATAAAGACATTAAAATCTTCATGAGAAACTTGGAAATACCAAGGTCTTAAACATGTCCAGAGCAATGCTGAATGTAAAGGGTGGCTCTGTTTGACCAGGGGCATACTGCTTTTGGCAGTGCACCACACAGCATTGGTTGCCAGATCTGGATGAGCATGGCATCAGTAAGAATGCAGCATACTTCACAGAATGGGTCGGGTTGGAAGGGACCACAGTGGGTCATCTGGTCCAACCGCCCGTGCTCAAGTAGGGTCATCCTAGAGGATGTGTTCAGATGGTTCTGGAATATATTCGGTGAGGGAGAATTCACTACCTCCCTGTGCAACTTGTTCCAGTGCGTGGTCACCCAAACAGGAAAAAGGTTCTTCCCCATATTCAGGTGGAACTTCCTGTCCATCCATTTCTGCCCATTGCCTCTTGTCCTATTGCTTGGTGCCACTGAGAGGAGCCTGGCTCCACCCTTCAGATACTGATAGACATTGACAAGGTCCCCACTCAGTCATCTCTTCTGGAGACTGAACAGGCCTAGCACCCTCAGCCTTTCCTCATATGAGAGATGATCCAGTCCTCTCATCGTTTCTGTAGCCTTCCATAGGATCCTCTTCAGTAGTTCCTTGTCTCTCCAGTACTGGGGAATCCAGAACTGGCACAGCACTCCAGATGTGCCTCACCAGGGCTGAGTAGAGGTGCAGGATCACTGCCCTCAACCTGCTGGCAATGCTCTTCTTAATGCACTTCTTGCTTGTGTAGGCCAGGTGCTGGAAACTGTTGGGTCTTTTCCCATATAAAGCCTGAACACCCTGATTTTTTTCATAAAAATCTAGTCACAGGAAGATACACTCTGGTTTCATCCCAGCAAAACCCAGGACATGGCCTGAACATATTCACAGACCTGGAAGCAATATTGTGTAGAAAATAGCCATAGTTGCTGTAAATGTAAAACAGATGACTGTAGTTCCTCAATAGCATTTATTGTAAATTGGAAAGCTTCTGATTGGAAAGTACTTTTAAACATCCTTATTTGTTCTGAATTGCTACGAGAAAGTCAAAGTGGAAGATAGAGTAACACAAATAGTACTAATTCCATATAATGTACTTTTGACTGCTAAGCCTTCCCAAAGATGAAGCCATTTTCCAGAGGGGTTTAATTTGTTTTTCAGTAACAGAAAAACTGTAGCATAGAAGTAAAAATACAGCAAGCAGGAGGGTCAGAGAAGTGGCAGGGAATCCATCCTTCGGTGTTTACAAGTCTGGGCTAGACTATTGTAGCTGACCAGATCTTGTGGTGGTAAATGGTAGTTTGGACTAAAGATCTCCAAAAGTCCCTTATGAGTAATGTTTCTGTGATTCTGTCAGTCCCACCCTGGAGCTGGAACTGGGTGTCAGGGTTGATACCTGAAATGGACAGGTATCCACAAAGGCCGTACAATAAGGAGCTTTGCTGTTGCTATCAAACTCTCTGCAAGCAGCAGGTGGCCCTGTCAGGTGGTTCAGAAGTCAGGAAGCTGGGATAGTAGTGGAAATTTGAAGTTGGATTTGAAGCAGAAGGTCTTTCCTGTGTCATCAGACAGGCTATTATCTCTATCATGACGTCATTATTGGAACCATATGTGAGTATTTCAGTTAAAGATTTTCAGTGTTCTGCTGTGGTTTATTCCCCCCACTACATGTTACTGTTTTGCAGGGAAGAGTTTTAGTGTTAGCTACAGCTGGATTGAAGGTAGACTATACCATCCACTTTTGTTTCTGTA